CTGGCAGCGGCCGCGGCCATATCCCACGCCAAGCACTACTACAACCACACTCAGCCGACTATCACACAGACGGAACCCGCGCATTATAACGTCAATGTATTCTTTGTAAGGTTGGTCTTCATTTTATTTACTTCTTTTAGTCAAGATTTTTTATTCTCTGATAAGCCACACAACATACATCAAGTCGTACTTTAGAAATATTTGCGATTTGATAAAAAAACTTTACATTTCTCTGATTTATAGCGAAAGAGTGTTGTCCTAATTATTAAAATAGACATCTGTTCCGTATAGATTGAAAAACATAAAATATGTTAAACGATTTCGCAAACGCATATCCGTGTAGATATAACATTTAATACATAAAAGTGCCGTTATCAAACTTTATGAAGGAGCGTTATATCAGAGAGAAAAACTGGAAATCCGGGAAAATGACTGGTCATGCTCGTTGTCAGTTTATAGTGCTATAAATCTCCCGGACAGAGTCCCCACTCGTGCTTTATTACCTCTCTATGGGAAAATTATTAGCGGGAAAGCTTGATTTCTCTTAATGCATAAAGTCTAATTACTTCACGTCCAGGCATCTCTGTCAATAGACCATCTTTAGGGAGTTGATCTTAAATTAATGGCAAGTAACTAAATTGTAGCATTTGAGATCCACGAAGTCTAGTAAATTAATTTGGTCTTATACAACTAACAAGAAGCAATATCTTAGTATATAAATTATGATTCGAATCATCAATATTTACGTAGAATATTGATTTTTTTTAGTTACTTTGCATACTAAAATATTGGGAATTTAATGTTATAAAATAAATAATCTATAAAATTATATCCAAGAAATAAAAATTCCGTAGAATTTGATGTTATTGCTTTTTTATTAACACCGTAAAAGGTGACAGCCTCTCCGTTTTACGGGAAAATATGTCTGTCAGCTAAAAGTAAGGTAATGGGTGCAAAATATTTAATGCGAATGAGATCAGAATTGATGGATATTGATACGTTTGAAGATAAATGCAGCTTATGTTAATCAGATAATAAATCATACTATCATCTAGCAGCTGGTAAATTAGGTACTCAAGAAATGATCCGAATTTATACATTCCTAGTAGCAAACTCACTTACGTCGACTACCTAACCTAGGCAAGGCTTTCATAAGTTAGTATGTAAACTAATAGATAGGAAACTAAAAGATACAAGTGAATCCATTAACGTCCAAACTTGGCCCGCGGTCGCCGTACTAAGTTTATACCCACGACCCAATCTTAATCTGACATCCGAAGCAAACAACGTAATTGATTGCATTTAAATCACGTTACGACTTGTAGCATCATTAGTGCAAACAGAACATTGTCAGAAGCTAGGAAACAAATGAAGATAAGACTAAGATAAGACTGAAAACAGAAAATTTGCAAAAAACAAGGACTGAGAGTCAAATATTGTTATTTTTGTACAGTGCCTTATTTTTGTATACATGAACTATACTAATGCACAACTGTTTAGTCTCACTTTGATTCCTATTTGCTTATAAGGATGTGCGCACACTAGATTTTTAGTTGTGAAACTAAACATTTGAATTGCGAAACAATCGACAATCTCACAAGAGTTTAGTCAAAGGTGTACGTCCGCTCTTAGTCTAGAGACATAACTAATTTGAATGAACATAACTTGCGAGTGTTATTCAATCTTAAAATATGTTGTTTGTATATTAAGGACAAATGGTGTTCAGAGGTAAAGAATATCTCTTGTCGCAAATTTCTGTCAAAGAAATAAGTTCCACAACTGTAATTGGACTTATTCCATCTTAGGAATAGAGACAGAGGACAACTAGATTAAGTTGTGAGCAAAACGAATAGTAATATTCTTAGATCGTCAGATTAAACATGAGTAAAAGAAAGTTAAATCTTATCAAGGTTAGTTTATTCAAGCAAATAGCTGGATTTCCTTTGATATTAACGTAATTTTTAATAACAATTCCTCTAACCAGTCCAAAAGTAAAGTAAAAAAAAAGAAAAACCAGTCTTAAGGTTTAATGGTTACAGGAGTTTCTTAGTATAGATTTCATTGGGGAAATCATCACTAAGCAAACCTTAAGTGACCGATAAGTGAGTGTGGCAGTAGCAAGCCGTGTTTGACAAATTCGTTAGTCAATATATTTATATTGCCCCTAAGCTATAGTTTTGCCAGTGGCTTAGAGCTTTTCAAAAGCTTTCTTAATCCCATAAAGCGAGAACTATTCAATCGTCGATCGACGAGCTTCACAAAGCCGATAAAAATCTGTTTTCCCTTTCAGTTAATCACGTAAACGTATTACGGAGATACGGTATTCATTAAAAATCAATTAAACGACATATTATATCATTAAATCATTTTTTATACTATGATAGTAGACTAGTTACTTTTTGATTAACAATCTAGAAGTAACAGATTTATTATATTTTTCTTTTTAACGGAAAATTCAGTAAAAATCCTGGAGGAGGAAATTGGTAGCTTTTCTTAAACTGCGCGACTTTTAACCGTGATAGTATCGTAATAAGTTATTAGTAAAAGGGTAACCTGCCGGTGGGTAAGAAGGATTTTATTTGCAATAAAAATCTGTTCTCTCCGTCCTGGTCTGTACGGACCCTAACAGTGGCCGCTAATTGGACGAATACCACAATGAGTGTTGCCATAGTGCCGCGAACTAGCGTATAAATTTTGCATTGTGCAAATGGATTGCTATCACTCGGTACATATTGGTGGAAAGCTTTTGTTGAATCACTGGTTACTTTTGCAGACAGTATATATTTTATTTCGGAACATGAATACTATCGCATCATACTGTTTGTTGTCTGTTGTGTTACCGTTTCCATAGTTATTAAACAATTTACCGTAATACTAATGTTTATCATTCTTTTAACGAAATTACTGGTTTTAATATCTGAAGGTTTTTATGCTTGAATAAACACAAATTATTATTACTATGTTTTTTTTTAATTCTTTTCTTATTTAAGTAAATTAGGTCATTCGTCTAATAAGGCTAATTAAAATAGGTAAAAGTAACGTTTCGTATTTAATTAATTTGTGTACTAGTACTGAGGTTAAAAAATTTAAAAGATTAAGATTTGCGTGTTGTTGGTTCATTTTAACTTCAAAGCTTTAAAAAAATATGAAAGTAAGTTAAATTTCATTGAGGTCACAGTATTTGACTGTATAGTGCCGTTTCCAACGAGGAAATGATTATTTTTAATCCTTTGATTACCAACTAATTATTTTGATCTTCGCTGTATTTTATATCAAAAAAAACATAACAAATACCTTAAAGAAAACTTTTTGTCCTGTGCTAAAAAGTAAAATTTTAAATTCAAATGAAATTTCCAATTTAGGTGATTAAAAGAAAATACATTAAAAAATTTTTAAAGCCCAGAACATAAATGTAATGAAGCCAATATAATATTCACTAATTAAGTATCTACCAAAGCTGAATACGTTCAAAGCTCGTATGAACGTCAAAGTCACGTAGCTACGTGGAAACAGTTATAGATTTTACTCGTACAAATGTACAAATAATTTATAATCTTCACGTTTATAAACAACAAACATATAAGAGAGCGACTAATTTATGGTTGTAAATAAGTCGCGTAGTGAAAGGGGGTTAACATTTAATTAATTCTGGCGGCGTAGCACGCAACGCTAAGTCCTCGAATTAAGCGATATTAACGCTTTACAAGCGGAAGTTCTTATCGCGCTTATCACTGAACAACGATACAAAGCAAAATGCATTGTAATGTTTACACATGTGATAAGTACTACGAAGTTTACAATACCAAAACACTCGAACATATCATTATCTACATTTTTTGCAAATGTTTCGGCAATGGAAACCCACTGCTCATCATTATCAACCCCCTTATCCTACTCCCGGCACAACAGGTTTTTGTCCTCCAAATAACTCTCTCATACGTCACTCCCTTTTCGATCATGTCACCTTTCACGCAATCCATCCATCTCTTTCTAGGTCTATCTCTACCGGTGTACCCTTCCACACTCATAACTAACGTTCTCCTTGTAACATGCGATTCAACCTTATGGAAACCTACTGCTATGTAACAGAAATTTCAAATATACACGACGAACTCTACTTATGAATACTTATGAATTAGTTTCTTGTATTGTATAACACATTACAAAGTAGTTTTATAAGATTTTACGAAAATAATAAAAGCATGTAGTTTTAAATTTACTAGTGACTTACAAATGAAAACTCGAACCTATAAAAGTTTATGAAGCAGGAGTGTCATGCGAACATTGTCGCTGTACTGTACCGTATACAAAAAAAGTTATAAATAAATAACACTAAGTAGAAACCTTGGGATATTTACACCAAATTTAATAATATTTTTTAATAATGAACTATTTTTATAATGAAAAATTATGCATAATAATATATTTATTTATCTTCATTTAAATGTGCAATGTTGATAACTACAACATTCAACCAAAACATAATATTGTATGCTTGATTGGATTTATTTATTATTCAGTCTCTATTATAATACCGATCTTGCATTAGATATTTTTTTATAAGTTTGAGAAACATCACGCATTCAAGGATTAAAAAGACAGAGACAACAATCTCTACTAACATTATAAAGAAGAAAGATTTGAATTTTTAGATTTTCGTATGTATTGAAACAATTTAAAAACTACTGGGACGATTTCAAAAATTCTTTCACCATTAAAAGGATACGTTATCGCTGAGTAACATAGATTATTTTTAAATTTGATGTGGACGAAGTCGCGCGAAACAGCTAGTGTCAGTTTACATATATCACATCAGTAGAAATTCATACGAAGTTTGTTACCAGTGCTACGTTGTGCGGCGTGCTGGTTGCGGTGTGCGCGGCGTGCTGGAGACGCGCGCCTTCAGATAAGCCTGAAGATGCACGCGACTGTCGCGGCGTCTACACCGTCAGCGCGGACGCCCGATTACAGGTAATTTACATATGCTTTGATGTGAATAGTCATTTAAGATACTACTTGTTGCTCGCATCTTCAACCGCGAGGAAACAAAAATTGTAATAACCATAGCCTATGTTACTCAGTGATAACGTAACTATTCATAGAAAGGGAAAACAATTTTTGAAATCGATTCAGTAGTTAATAAGTTATTTCTATTCAAATATTTATTCTTTATAATATTAGTATATATGTGCAGTAGTCCGTGACGTCGATAGATACGTTGCTTCCGCATCTAAGATCCCATATTCTCAGTGCTAAGTGACTCATTATTTAAAAAGTATTCAAGAAAAAACTTAGTGATAAAAAATACTGTACAAAAAATTTCACGGCTACAGTGCGAACACTTTTTCTTTAATTTGGCATAAATATCAAAATGATAATATATTATCATCGCATATTAATTGTAAAAGTTATACAATTAGATTATTTTCATATAAAACTCACGAATGTGACAATAAACAACTGTAGTGCACTTTAAAATGTTATATTTTTGTATGTATTCGTTCCAACACTTTTTTACCGCGTTATATGGCGCATATGAGAGTCGTTCACGAGCCGTGAGCACAGATATTAAAACAGATTTTAACCAGCCTATATAAGTTCGACAAAAGTATTTACACGGTTCTTATACAAAACCCTTGATACTAGGCTTTGATATTTTTTTTATTATATACACGAGCTTTACACCTGTAACAACTAGCCTCATTTCTAATCAGCTAAGAGTATGTATATAGAAAAAAAAAATTACACCACTAATAAAAAAATACAAGTTTTTGAGTTTATCAAAATTTTCAAATTATAACTCAATAGTATTACATACGTCATTATTTTTGTTAATCAGAAGTTAATACGCTTTTCGGATTAACTCAATGTCGGGAGTAATATTATTCCAATATAATTTAAATTGCAGTGCATTTAGATCCGTTATGTGCGCCACTGAACAGTTTCAACATAAACTTTTCCAATTTATTCCATTATTAAGTTATATGAAGCAATTCCTTTCATCCGACGTGAATTATTCTTTTATTAGAATTGACAGTTAATTAATAAAGTAAAAATTCATTTTAATAAGTAAAAAAAGCTACTATTTATATTTAAATATTGTAAAAGTCTTATTTTAATAATATTTGACCAATGGCTGAAACTGAAGATACAACTAGACTACAATGTGCTACGCAGTAGCTAAGACACGCTACGCAATTATAATGGTTACACCGCGTAGATGTATCGATTGTTTTGGTTACAGGAGTATTATTAGTATCTATCTAACATAGATTAACTAGGTTTCAGAAATGATACCCTTACATTTGTTTACCTACGTGGACCGATACTTTGGCGTAGTACGTACAATTATGATATTGTTTCTATTCAGTTGATACGGCCTATTTAAACTTTATTTTAAATGCTAAATCCTAAATAAACATCTTTAATTTCACTTTAAAAAACACTTTATAACAGGTAATACCTGTCTCAAAGCCTCAATAATAGCATCTTGTAGCATTTCTTAGTCGTTGTTGACTCGAAAGCTATTTACGAGGCGGTATTATCGCTAACGAGCGGCGGCTGGGAGCTAACGCGGTTAGCCTGGGGCACTTCCGGCGCGGGATTGTAGTTCCGCCCCACGTTCTACGGCGACTAGCCAAGCGATATACAACTTTGTGGACTAGTAAATACTAATATATTGAGGACATTTTTGATTGGTGTATTGTGTGTCGTACTTAACTACAGCCTTCAGGTGTGTTGTGATATAGGGATAATGTTTAATAACGGACTGTATTTAAGTGAAAAATATACTTCTTTCATTGGCATTAATACTTTTGTGTATTATTCAGAGACTATTGAGTTAGAAACAAAATTTTCTCCATAGCAGTATTTCATAGGTTCTTATCTGGATATCGCTTGTAGCATGGACACCGTGTACTACTCGGTTGTTTCAGTTAAATTGATTTTTCATTGTCCCCTTGTGTCGACATAAATCCTACGGCGAGTCGTGACATCGTTAATCCCTCGCCGTAATGTAACGAGCTTGGCTTTTTATGATCGGACGGTCACTTTAAACAAATGTTCAACGTTTTACACCTTTGTATATATTGGTTTAACGCGATGTTGTGTTAGAAGTGGGAGGAGGATGACATTGTTTTGTTTATTGTGGTCGTTATGTGTTTATCTATTGAAGGTGTGTTTACTACAATATCATTCCGCATGGTATTAAAAAAAACCAAAACCAAGTAGCCTATATGTCCTTCCAGACTATCCTCTACATCTGTGCCAAATTAGGCTACAAACTCAAGAAACACCATACAACCATCCGTCCATCTAAAATTTAACATTTATAATATTGGTATGAAAATCGAAGTATGATTCTAAGGTTTTCTTAGGAAGTATGATACTTAATAAAAGTGCAAATTGAATTTAAAACGCGAGACCTTGTAGTGGTCTAAATGCAAAGAAACGCTTAATACTGTTTATTTGTAATGAGGTAATCTGACTTGTGAACAATGTTTTATTCAAATTGATGTTTTGTATTCTGATATCTCAGCAAAATAAATTGGACGGCTTGCAAATCTATGTGGTTATTTTTAAAAAAACAATTCTTAATTACTAAGTAACTAGGTTACTCATAAGTAAGGAATAATGAGTCTAGTAACGACAAGTAACGTATTCATGTTACTGTTAATGTTTTAATACAATTGAACAATAAGCTTTCGTGAATTAAAACGTTTCACTTTTCACTAAGAAGCAGAAGATGTTGAGTGTAAAATTTTAAAATTCCGCTACTTCCTAACAAAAGCTGTAAAAAGCTGAGACATTTTTAAGTAACAAGTCGTTTTCTGTGGACTCGGTCTGCGGTTAAAACATTGAAGTATTTTAATATTCAGTCTTCGCTCGCCACGTATATGTGTGCTGAAAATGAAACGTTTTTAACCGACGTCCATAAAGGGTAAGATTCTTAATTAGTCTGTATATTACTATTTATATTGACTAGCTGTTGCTCGCGACTTCGCCCGCTTTAAAATTACGGAAATAATAATGACATAGACTATGTTACTCAGTGATAACATAGCTTTTTCATGGTACAAGAATTTTTGAAATCGGTCCAGTAGTTTTTGAGTTATTTCAATACATACAAAAATACAAATCTTTTCTCTTTATAACATTGGTATATATTACTTCATAACTCAGCTGCTGTTGGGGTATCATTTTTGAATTAAAAATTTAAAAAATTATCAAGCTCACATTGTTCATTTTTATTCAAATAATTTTCAATAATAAATAAAACCCTGTGATAAAACAATTTTGATCCTAGAATGTTTTGTAAATCTATGTATTTGAACGTTATAAAGCGTGTTTAGAAACGTTCATGAACTAAACGTGTCACATGAAGTTGCGTCGCCTCGTGCTGTCGATATCGATAGCCACGTGATCCAAATGACCTTGATGGGGGATGTAATTACTTTTAATTTAATAAATATAAGCAGAGACACTGACGCTCTCACATATATTGATTTCTTATATACTGTATTACAGCCTTACAAATAAACACGGTATAAAGTTAAACTTAGGAATAAACTGAGTATAAGCAAAATTTGTACTAACATTTGTTTATATTCAATTTATTCCTAAGTTTAATTTTATATCTCGTTTATTTGTAAGGCTGTTAGACGTCCTTACCCAGTTTTTTTTACAAATAATGCACTAGCAAAGTCGCGACTAATAGGATAAGTCATCAATCACACGATAACTTAATTTTCCAGCTATGTTAAATAAAAATTCGAATGTTGAAATAAACAGACTGCTAATTCGACCGTGTGTCCGGGAGGATCGTAATCGTATTTGATCAGATGTGGGTCAAGTTCGCGTCAGACCTCGAAATGGAAATAGAATCACCGGAATAGCTGTCACAGACTGTTTCATGTTATTTTTAGATTTTTTATTAAGATTGTGGAAACGAAACAATTTTATTTTACTAAATAGATTAACACATGCCTACGTGTACCATCGCATTGATTAGTCTATCAAGCTCTTGTTTTAGTGTATTTTGTCATTATAATTGACACAAACGTCATGTTTTTGACGGTCATTATTCGTCAAGGTTCACTTATTTAGAAAAATAGTTCAACATCAGTTTTTGTCTGCTGGAAATATGCCCATTGCCGTCGAGAAATACAACTGCATTTCATTATTATTCCGTGACGAAATTGAACCTTACTTTACAAGAGCTTGCAGCTTGCAAACTCTGGTAGTTGTTAAGCTATCCTCTAGAATTCATTATCATTTATTAATATTAAAATATTTTAAATAAAAAAATCTAGTCGCTGACATCCTTTACCGACAGATTATTATCTTTCAAGTGTCTTTACGGGAGCTGCTGTATAAAGAGTAGATTAATATCTAGCGATCTTCCCTGTATAAAGAATTGCAGAAAAGCCACATTTACATTTATACTTGAATCGTATTACAAAACAATCCGTTTTATCGCTCTCGAAGTCGTAAAGTTTAAATAAGGTTTTGTTGTTTTTGGACAAGTAATCTCGAGTTAGAACTTAATTTTAAGCTGAATTAATTCAGACGAATCAATATTTTCCAAGCAAATCTGGCAGTTATGAAAAAGACAATAACGGACTTACCTACAGTTAATATCCATACTAAATCTACACTTAAAAATACTCAATTACTCTAGGAACGGCAGTAACAGATAATATTACAAAAACCGTCAATAGAATTTTTATGTTTTTTTTCTACGTTGCCAGTAACTTAATTCAGTAGAAAGTGCGATAAAAGCTATGATAGTCGGCTCGGGAAATGTATCGGAGACCTTCTATATGAAATAATAATGAGAGCAATAATACTTTCGATATAGTTCAGTAAATATCGCCTTAATGTGTTCTTAGCTGATTAAGATGTTACATATTTTAGGAGTCAGATATTAATTGAATAATATAACGGGATAGCATCTACGATTTTCTTAATTATCACCACACTTTACTAATACTAAATAAACAAATATAACTAAAATTACTAGAACAGAAACAAACAACACTAGCACCATTAATACTATCCCTGACTAACATTTAACATAATACGAAGCCGGGTCGGGACACTCGTTTTATTCGAAGAAATACCTTCTCATCTATTATAGGTTTGGCTTAAGAAAACGGTAATAGTAACTTTAAATTAAAAACAAGTCTTCGCAGTGGCTTGTTCAACTTTAAACAAATTCCATAAGACGATAAAAGCTCCTGACTTCAGGCAGTCGCCGACATCCACTTAACTGTTTAAAAATTTGCATAGTCTTCCATAGCTTAAGTGGCTCGCCCGGAAAATCCTTTTGTTGGTGCTTAGTATGCAAGACTATAGAGTAATAAAAAAAAACATCGAACGTAAGTATCGAATATGGGAAATGTTGATTCGAACCCAATAAATAATGTTAGTATAGTACCAATACATTGTACCTCGTTGCCAAATGTAATATGATAAAAATGTATTTGATTTAAACACACATATGTACATTCTAAGCTATCGGATTTTTAGTCGAAAATTACATCTGTAATTGAGAAGTAGTTGTGTTTTCATACCTGAATTTTTAATGACATTTTTCTTAATTTATAAAAAAGTTACATTGCTTTATTTCTTTAAACAATAATACATCAATATCTATACAATCCGGATAGCGGGATGCATTGAGAATCTCGCGAGGTTAAAGATACGTATTCGCCAGATTTAACGAGCGGTGTTCGCTGGCTCGAAATAAAAATCGCATTTGCGATAATTGGTTTCCGCTCGGCGTCTCCCCCCGGGCACATGCTCCAACAACTAAATAAGTGATCGTCTGCCTCCAGAAGGTGGTTTACACCGCTTTTCCACTAGCGTATACTATTCGAACGAAGAACGTATATACTACTTTCACCGGTGCGTTCGCGATTACAAGTAGAAACAGTCATATAGGCAACTGTATCATGCAGTCGGTATCATCAGTTTTTAATAATTCGTAATTTCGCTGTTTAGAATAGCTGTACAAACGTTGCCCGCTATTACAATCCGTACATGGCCGTCCTTAGTGTAAAAGTGGACTTACCGTATGCGACTGCTATATCCCAGGAGTTTCCTGTTCAAACGAATTAAAAAGGCGAAGAATTAACGGCTTAACTCGCTCAATGCGATAAAAGTTACTAAAACGTGCAATTTTACTCGTGTGGTTAAATTGCAGGTTTTCGTGTGAAAGTTTTATTCAAACTTTTTTATCGTTTAACTATAGAATGCAATTAGAATATAAATAATTGTGACAAATACATGTAAGAGGAAAAAACAACTTCAATATCTTTTTTAAAATTCACTTATTAAGTTAATTCATACGATCATATTAAATGAAGGCACATTAAGACCTCAGAGAATACTAAATTGCCGTAATCATAAAGCAATGATTTATGGCTAGAGAACGTTGGAAATTACTAACTCGTGCCGCGAGTACTAATCTTCAATTCGATTAATAAAATCGATATTTCCTCGCATGTTGTACCGCGTGGTACACCTCATCGAATATTCACTACAAATAAAATATTTATTCCATGTTCTAATCATTCGAATATCGTGTCGTGAACATTAATTTTATATAGTACTGAAGTTAATGGGGTTTGTTAATTATATAGAAACTGGTTACGCAAGACATACATATGTAATCTTACTGTTTACAGTCTCTATCACACTGTAAACAGACTATAGAGACACACAACAGACAAACTACATCTCTTATTTATAGAGATTCCTAAAAGGAACATATTGCGATCTTTTTTTAATTATTACAACAAGATTTTACAGCAGTAACAGTAGTTATTTAAAGTGATTTTTTACATTAACATTTTAAACAATTAATAATATCAGCGACATTATTTACATTGACGTTAGTCATGACAGTTTTCTAAAGTTAATTTTATAAAAGCTGTCTTCGATGACTTTCAAAGCTCACAATACCGGCGCCTTTTATCTTTCCCTTGACATTTCGATAACAAATTGACATGGACATTTGCCCACGAGGTAATAATTCATTGTTCAACACCAGTATCGTATTTCAATTTATCCATTACCGTTTGTTGTGTTGTTCTTTCAGCCTTAATGTGTGCTGTTGTTTATCTTCGCTGTAAACAATGGGGCTAAGTGAATCCTGCTGTATTCAATAGAAATGTTATATGTACTTTGCTACAAAGGTTAATTATTTTTAAGTAATCTTTATCCTACACATAATTCTATCATACATCATCTCAGTCATCACTCCTTTCTTGATCATGTCACTTTTCACGCAATACATCTTTTTCCTGGTCTACTTCTATCGATGTACCTACACTCATAACTAACGTCCTCCTTGTTACAGATTAATCGCTCTTCATAGCATGCCCATACCATGCTATTTTTAAGTAATCCTTTTCAAATATGGACGATAATGTCCTATCGCATTCGTATTTGAAAGATTCAGTTTGAAGATTAATTCTTATACGAATAAAATTGTTGGAATTTAAGTTAGTAATAACTTTAAATGACTTTTCCATTATATTTAACTTACCATTACATATATAATGCATTAATTAGATCTGGCTACAGTGTTTCACATCTGATGGACATCTGAAATAAAAAAAGTCAATATTAAATTTCAACAAAAAAAAAAAAACAAGTAGTGTTTTAATCAATAAATGTAATCGTAATTTTATAGTTACGTTAAACTTTCACATACGAAATATTATTTTAATTCATAGAGTACAAATTAGGAGTTAACAGCACATTAAAATATTTTACAATCAAATGTCATCTTGCTTAAAACACTAGTGAACATGATTTCCATAATTGCGATATATTTGCGGCATCTCGATTAGATCTGACGATTTACAGATTAGGGGTCGTATTATCAAAGCACTCGACAATGATTGATTAATTAGTTACACATTCGGAACCAAAACTAACTATATCATTTGTTTACTGTCACATCCATCTTTATATGTTCTTTGTAAAAATAGGGACAACAATAACTTTCTCATCCACGTGGGATACTTTGAATTAACGATAGAATAAGCTGACGATATTATAAGAATGCAGAATTTAACAATGCTTTTATCATATCATTTCTATGGACGGCAATCGTAATTTAATAAAGCAGGAGTCGTCGACGATAACTCAATAATAGGATGCTATTTTTCATCGCACTTTTATCTACGAGACTTTCGATTTAATTATCACTCAGGACACCTTAGTTACAACTCAGATAAATAAAATACGAGATATAAATAAAACATTGTATCTTTTTTAAGTTAAAGATTGAATAGATACCAAACATATTCCGTTAATTTTCGCTTTCATAAATAGTTTCTGGTATTGCTAAATAAACAAATTTTAGATATAATTTAATACTAGCTTTCGCCCGCGAATTCGTCCGCGCGGAATAAAAAAAAAGTAAAAATAAGTAACCTATGTGTTCTTCCAGACTTTGTTGTACATCTATGCTAAATATCATCAAGATCCATTCAGCCATTTAGGCTACAAACTCCAACAAACATCCATCCATCTAAACTTTCGCATTTATAATATTAGTATAATATGGTTAATAAGATTAATTATTCATTTCAATGTCAGGGTATTATTAACTTATTTAAAACCACTCAGCACATTTGCTGGTCTTCCTTCGTATTTGTCAGTGACTTAAATTTTTATTCCCAGTCTCATTTGGTACATATTATCATTTAATTCCTTCTTATTTTATTACTTTGTAATAGTCATTTAAATAGGTATCCGCTTGGCTGGGTCGCTAGCTGTAGTGCTGAAATTACTGCGTTTCATTTTGAAGTGCGTCGCAGTTAGAGAGTGGCTGACGAGACGTAAGACGTTACGTCTCAAGGGGACGCGCGTACTATACAGAGCTCTAACACATTTTGTTGTAAACAACGCGCTATATCTTGTACTATTAATAGAAATATACAACACAAAATGTACTATTTATTGTTAACTAGCTATCCCCCGTGACTCAGTCCACATGGAATTAAACACAAGTAAATATGTTCTTCCATACTATCATCTATACAAAATTTCGTAGAGATCCGATCAGTACTTTAACAAACATCCATCCAATCAAAATACTGTCACATTTGTAATATGTGTTAGATAAGGTTATTAAGAAGCAAGGTCATTGGGTACAACTCTAAGTTTTTTCGATTAATGCTACATATCTAATACAACATTGAGAAGTGTAATCGCCTATGGTATACACAATTATGATCGATATAGAGATAGAACGATTCAGTTAACCTTTGTGATTTAATATTAAATAAGCTATTGTTGGGATTTGAGTTTGTTTAATAGCTTTAGACGCATTCCTGAGGTGTTTACTCTGTCCGTAGGTTCAGGAGGAGCTGCCGGGCCCGCCGCCGGCTTACGAGACCGTCGTCGAGGGCACGACCGATCATAAGCCGTGTAACTCGTTACAGGTAAATATGTAAACAATGTTTACATGAACCCGAATCATATTGAGGGTATCGTGTAGTAAGAGTAGATGGACTCTTATTATATTGTTAATCTTGTCTACGCCATCATCTACGCCGAATCACTACGTTAGGGTTTGCTATTTTCGTAGACACGTAGTATCGGACGTATAGGTTCGGATGATTCATTTACCAGCTTTTGCCCGCGATTTCGTACGCGAGTATTAAAAAAACCTTTCTAGTAGTTAGTGATTAGCTTTCAATTTGGAAAAGAATGTTTTTTTAAATACATTGGTTACATTTTATAATGTTAGTATATATAGGATGTTAAGATTAGGTGAATAAAATGTGTTTAAATTGTGTAAAGCTTATATCTTTGTACTTCCAGGAGGTGATAACAGAGCCTTGTTCTCGCTGCCAGACAGGTCGCGTCGATAGCGGCTTACCCTCGTACGAGGCAGCGGTGCTACTTCGCGACACTAAGTTATAAAATGCTTTATAGATCCTCGGATCATGTATACATGTATAATCGCACATACTAATATAAATGTAGAATTGATACGTGTTTTAGGTTAGATAAACTATATTTAGTATTGGACATGTGCAGTATGCGAAAGTTGTAAGAGAAATCTAAGTATAATTGTGATCACAATATGGAATGTATTTTATTACTTAAGAGCAGAGCTAAGTACCGCAATCTTGGTTACTACGAAATATTGTTACAGATATCTTTAAATAAAGAAATCTGAAGGAAGTAATCTAAAACAGTGTCATTTTAAATTTTAATAATAATACTGAGTCACCTTCACTCACCTGTAATTGTAATTTTCAACACAATTTCTAGACGTGTCATTTTGATCTTTAAAACAATGCAACAGAAATGATAATCGCACTGTCGTGCAGGTGTAATTAACAGAATGTTAACCGTTCGTTGTTGTTTATTTAAATATAGGGGTGAATTTATCAAGCTTATAACGCGAGATTTGAATGAGAAGTATAAATTATATCCATCGAAAGTGTTCATTGGAATTTGTTCGTTATATAAATGAGAATAGGTCTACATTGCCGTGCAAAGTTTCCACAATAATTAATTACACTGTACGTGAACGTCATTAGTTGGCAGGCGAGGGGGTGTCGTGTGAAGTTTAGTCGTTTTGCGAAAAACCGCGTAATTTAATACAAGTCTGGCCTTAACACAGGCGGGCTTGCTAGAGTGTATTGACTATTTATTGAATATTATTTTATTTTGTCAACAAAGTTACTATTTTACTGGGGAGGTTAGGAAAGGAAAATTCTTCTAAAGAATAAGCAAAATATTACACGAAGAATTTTAGTGTTCACGATAGAACACGAATAAAACGTTTGTCATATTTATATGACCTTTTTATTCGTTTTATGTTCAGAATCTGATCAATTGTGTACGATTTAAAATTTTATACGATACTTGTACTATCGATATTTATCATGGGATTCAGTGCCGTTGATATAAAGACGAGCTGTTACTATAAGATACGTGTTTGACTTCCGGTCATATCACACAGTTGTAAAGATGATATTGGTAATACGTAGCATAAACACGTAGCATATTCGTAGCGCGTATTCTACGTCGTTTATGTTTCGTAGCTTCGGACTGATTTATGATGTTAATATTGCAATTGAAATAAAACAAGAGTTTGGTTTATTTATTTCAAAGCATATTTCAATAAAATGACAAATATGAAAAAAATTTGCTTAAAATTTTTCAAAACAACAAGATTTTCAGTTCAAGAACAGTCATTGCAAGAACATCGCAAATAAAACTGCTTTTATGCCACTTCTAATGCAAAATTCTACATTTTTAAATATTACATTATTTTAAGTTTAACAAATATGATTCAGAAATTCAAATCAACATACATAACTTACGTATCATTACCTAAAGTTACATCTAACTTCACCATTTTATATAAAAATGTTTATTTTTGTTTCTATGACATATCTGCTCTAGTTTGTAACAATATAAGTGTAATATTTATACGCTTTGTTATATTATATATGTACTGTGTAACCACGCTGCGCTGTAGATAAATGAACTGATATAGTCAGATATATCCTGACCTATTCTTATGACTAGGTTATAAGGTGGTGGTGTATATTAATAAAGGAAAATCAAAATTATTGCGTTTTTCATTTAATTCTATTGTTAGTCGTATAACGATATTCTGCATACAAATAACACTGGATAGTAGGACATACAGTAGAACCTCAATAACTCAAACCTCGGTAACTTAAAAACCTGTATAACTTCAAAAAATAATATGTTAACTTCCCATAAGAGCCTGAAACCTCTATACATAGACCCTTGATAACTTAAAACCTCTTTAATTTAAAATATTTATTGTTTCCCTTGGACTTTAACTTATTGAAGTTCTACTGTAGTAACAATGCGTAGATAAACCAACTATTAGGAAGGTTCAAATGAAGGTATTCTAAAGTTGGGTGTTTAATGTAAAAGCCAATTTGAAGTGAGTTCGTTAAGTACGGATACGGTTCGGATATTGCGAGCGTTTGAGCGTCTATATGAGGTGGGTTCACATTGCATAGGTAGGATAAACAACGACCATTGTAGACCACACTTTAGATATGAAAGGATCAAGGTAACGTATCTTAGCAAAACATAATTCGTGAGCTAATTAAAACGTTACTTCTCTGAATTACAAATTAAAAAAAAACTGCCCCATCGGATTTTTTAAAATCATACTCTAAAATCGGAATTATGTGTATATTGACTAATTGACTGATATGAAACTTTTATCTACTATTTAGCAGTTTCTAGCATGTTTATCAGAGTGACATTAAAAAGCCTGAGTTACACCCCCTACATCTATACTAATATTATAAAGAGGTAAGATTTGTATATTTGTATGAATTGAAATAACTCAAAATCTACTGTGCCGATTTTTTAAATTCCTTCACAGTTAGAAAGATAATTTATCTGCAAGTAACGTAGGCTATGTTTTTTCAATTTTCCGTGGACGAAGTCGCGAGCAACAGCTAGTTAGCTATAATTCAGCAAAAGTTCTGTCTAAACAAGTTCAGTTGTTTACGATTTCGTAATTTTACTACTTGATATTAATTGTTCCTTGAAATTACGCACTGCAATATCTTGTTGCTACAATTAATTTCAATAAAATTTGTAAGATCCGTATCACATACTAACCACTTAGATAACGAAGAAACGTTTAAAGCTCACCTCAATGACCGACATCGTAAATCGTCGCATTAAGTGCGAACCCGCGTCGCCAAGCTAAATGATACTCCGCACGCCATACTAACATTTTCATCAAAGTTTGCCGAATGCTCTTGCAGGTTTATGTGCTCCTGGTACTTTCTATAAATTAACACCTTTAAATAAGTGGTGCTAAATCTATATCATTTATTAATAAGAGAAAATCTAATTTAAGTATTTTAAGTATCCTTCGGAACAAACATAAAAATATTTTTTTATGAACTTTCTGCCATTTAATAACAAACATCAACAAGAAAGTTTACCGAAAGGAATGGAGGTATCGCCGATCTCAAAACTCAAAGATAGGTAAATTAAGCGCTAGAACATCAGGTAAACGAATTTTTAATTGTAATATAATAGGCTGAGTAAATTAAATAGTCTGTTGAGATTTCCAACGAGTACGGGATCTTTATTTTCATTGTAAACTTACCTATGATTCTAAAGTAAAGATAACCTTACCACTTTGTTTCTTTTATAAGTTTTTAAGGTTTAAAAACGTACAAAGTTCTATTATGGAACATATGAATATCTCTTAAACTAGGCAATTTTTTTCGTAAATCTTATCCATGACAGCTACATTAGAAGCATCAGCGCGTACGGACTGTTTAGCATTCAACGCACGCACCCCAAAGTGGTCCATTTAAACGCCCAGGAACGTGCAAAACTTAGTGCTTTTTAAACAGCTACATAAATTGTCACCCCGCACTTGCATTATGAATAATTCTATGTAAGCTCACGAGAGTTAATTGAATTTAAATGAGGAAACTGGAAAATGCTTACAGTTTAAAAAAAAATAAGGTTTTTTTTTATATCTGGTATGTAGCGCGTCAGTGGTGTCTGTCCAATCCATCCAAAGTAGAGCTATAGTACAACTTATATGTCTTCTAGGAAGACTTTTCCTATCTCAAAGAACCTTCTAAAACAGGTGACATGCTGTTCATTTTAACTTAACTTTTAAAATGTCTTATTTTTTTTTCTTATTTCCATTAAATATATAAAAAATAAGTATCACCAAACTAGACAAACAATAGTTTGTAACAAAGCCTGCAAGATTATTGGAAGTGATGCTATGCATGGTGCTCAGCATTGTTCCCGACAAACTTCTTGACACGCTCTCCAACAATAAAGTGGTTATACCTTTTAACTCGCTATTTTACTAAAAATATATTAAACTTTTAAATGTCCTAACTTATACTTATGTCCCCCTTGTCTATCTTACTCTATTTCAGACTCAAATACAATACACTGGATTTTCATCTATTAAATCTACAGTTTTGTCATTTCAGACGTAATTCCCCTCAATCATGTCACCGTTTACTCAATCCAGTTTAATTCTACTCCTAAATTTCTACAAGTAACATTTTTAATCAGTTCAAACTGCATAATATTACGTTTTATAACACTGATTGTTTAGAGAACGAAAATTTAATCAAACGGCTAAGCAAAACAAATGTAAAATTAATTACTATTTCGTTTGTACTGCCAACGGATTCGATTAGATTATTCACTAATTTACTAAAGGTAATGAGAAATACTCATACCGTTATTTGAAATATTGGGTAACATGGATTAAAAGGAATTTATAACTTTTTTTATAATTATCTATATTAATTTCAAAATGACGATAGATGTATTTAAGCCATAAAAATATATTATTCCGAGCCAATATAAAGTAAACATTTTTGACTTATTAAACTTCATATTATTTCGCAGTATTATTAAACTGAAAAGAATCTTGTAAGTTTTCACGTATCTTTGTACGTCTGTTTATTCCACCATAAACGTATGTTTTCCTATTTTCGGGATTTGGAAACGGGAACGAGAAGCGGAATGACGAACGAAAATGGCGCCAACTAACAAAGAAAAATAGTGATGGATATGTTTGAATATTGTCTGCAAAAACAAACGCAATGATAGTATAAAGTTTGTCCTAAAACGATTTTGTAAAGATATAAATAGCGGAGGATATCATAACATAAAAACAGTTTTAATTTTTTAAATAAGATTCTTACTTGAGGGATATTACAATACATCTAGGCAACAAAATATATTTCTGAAAAACCAGAAAAAATATCAGGAAAAGGTCATCTTCGTTAATGACTGAAACCAGTATAAGTATGTAAATAAGAGGCGAATTGGTACGTCGCTATTTTAAAAATTAAGTCGAAGGAATTAGGCAATTAAATATATACCTAAATTTACCTTAATTTTTTTTCGCATGATTTATACATCAAAAGGATTTTTTTTTCATTATTTTTATAGGGAAGAAAAAGTTTTAAATAAATGTACATTACTGGCTGAGGCAGAAAACATTACGCTTTGTAAATATATAAAAAGACCATTTTACTTCTATGGTAACATTTTATTTATCTAACATTTCAGTATGAAGAGCGCAGTTTTGAGAGTATTCGCGTGTAAAGGGAACTTATCAATGTCGTTAGGGAACACTGCTTCTGGAAATATCTGATGTTTGTTTGAAATTTAGATTTTCTTATCTTGTTCTTGTACAGAATCTTTAGATTATGCCACGAGATATGCTTTTACCGATTTAGTTTTATTTATATTAAATGTCAGTTCATTACTACCGTAATAAGTGTAACCGTGGTTTTTCATGGATGAAACATATAAAAACGTAACATGTAGTTCTTTTAAAAAAAAATAACAATATGGATGAATATTAATGTCGACGGATAAACTAATGTTTGGTGTCCTGAACGCCGTAAAATATAAGACAGAAATCCTTTTTATAACAGTTTGGTAACTATTTTTTTGTAAATCGTTATGCAAAAATTTTAATGAATTAACTTTGGAGAATATAGTAAACTAAAGTAAAATAAAACGGAGCAAGTTAATACGATTTAACTTGGAATGTGTAAACATGTTTGCTTTCCCAGAGCTGAGTCTAATTTAGCTTTCAAATCTTAATTATTATTTCATTACAGTTGATCAACAAGGTTACTATAGAAAGCTACGTAAAGCAAAATAATCAATGATTCGAAACATACGAAGAATTCATATAAAAAGCAATAAGTAAATCTGTTAACCCAACAATCCTGTAACAACGCAAATTGAATAATCATCAACTTGCCCTTATCCCTTACGGAGGGTCGGCACAGTATGTACTGCTCTTCCATACATCTGTATCAGCCGTCATATCTGAATCACTCCTTTCAAAATTCATAAGAATGCAAATTGAATGGCAATTCAATTTTTTTTAGTTACTTTCTGTATTAATGCTGGATTTCAGAAGTTACCATTTATCATTAATTAACTTATTGTTACGCATTTAAGGGATTTATCGAACCAAAAACACTAACGAAAATTTAAACGTATCTGGGAAACCAGACATAAGTTTATGGAAGTTACAGTGGAAGGATCACATATTCAAAAGTACAAAAACATTATCTTCCAGTCAATCAGACTTAAGTCAATACTGTTTTATTAAGTATTCACAAATTGAAGTTCCCACTCGATCTTTATTGTTCATTGAAGGAAAACCTCAAGTGATTTGCTCTCGCTACCTACTCCTTATTGTTCTCTAAGTATCCATAAAGCCTTAGTGACGACTATTCAAATCCCTGCTTTTTGTATAATTATGTACAAAAAATACCTTGCTATTTTAAAACAAACAGATCTGGATTTTCTTAACCTAGTTTTACACAAACATAGAACTTCGATGTAAATAGTATCTACAATAAAAGGCATTTCGTTAGTACCAGCATGTAATTGCTTCGGCCGTTTTGTTACAAGTCGACGCCCAATTGCTCTATGGCTACGTTTAACTTTTTCTTTTGCCTACTATTGTTTTATGGAAATAAGAAAGTCTTTACTGCTTTCTATTTTTTTGTAATGTTCGATTTTAAAGCGGTTACCATATGTAGTTGTATTTTTTAATTTGCTATGAGTTTCCACTGGCCAGTATAAAATATGTCTTTGTACAGGGTTTTCTGTTTCACGGTAATTTTAAAATTAATAAAAAACTTACGATTTAAGTCCATTATTTCATGGTTACCAAAACATCGAGTAGTCAAAATCTGAAACAAGCAAAATAGACAATTTTAACAAAAGAAATAAGTGTAACAATTATACCACGTCATCAGATTTAAAACAACCAGAGTAAGAATGAAAGATACTTTAGAGTTCTAGAAGTCAAAGTATTATCAAATATGAGAGTCGACAACGTAATTGTCAAAATATTAGTATTTTACGACGATTATTCACTACATAGTAATAATTAACTATGGAAAGTTCTAGACAGTATAATTTCCTACATTGAATTGGGAACCACTATCAATCACATTTCAATATAAAAACGAAGAGAAGACGAGGTATAAGGAACAATAAATTGTATACCTTGATCACCGTTCTTTGTGCCGGTCATTAAGAAAAATTACGTGCCCTTTGATTAATGGACATAAAAATTCTTCAGCCCAAATTTATCGCTAACGATTTTTCATCAGGCGCTATTTTTATAAGTGTTAGAATTTTTAAATTAAATTTTTCAATAAAATGAATTTTGTAAGAGACTTAAATGTAATAATTAACTACTACTGAACTAGCTTTCACCTGCGACTCCGTCCGCGCAGAACTAAAAAAAAAACAAATGTAAATAGCCTATGTGTTCTTCCAGACGATCCTCTACATCTATGACAAAATTTATCGAAATCCGTTCAGCCGTTTAGGCTACAAACTCTAACAAACATCCATCCATCCATCTAAACATTCGCATTTATAATATTAAGTCTGACTTACGCGTTTTAAACTAAACGATTGACACCAAAAAGTAGGAGTATAAATTTATCATTCTAGAAGTTCTCGTTTAAGATAACACTGCATTAATTACATCTCATTTTTGACCAATATCCCAAAAGAAGGCGGTACTCAATCCGTCTGTATGTTTTTTTATTAATATTAATATTGATAGAATACTAAGTGATTACAAAATTGACGCGTTTGCAGACCAGATTGATGGATGACTGCAACGACTATTTTTTTTTCTGTCACTGCCGTCGTACGGAATCCACGTTGTTTTTTTCTGGCAGGATGAAAGATGGACATTGAATGAGATCCTAAATCTATGTTTGAGTTCTCACATGATCCTGAAACGAATACAAATTTTACTACGCGTCTGAGAATAGTATATTAAGAAGCGTCCTATGTCAAGATTAATCAGTTTATTTCAAAATTATTACCTCTGGTCCATTACTTCATCTTAATATAGCTTTAAAACTTCATGGTCCGTCTAACCAATCTACTAATACCAACAGACAAACAAAAATGTTACTTCTGTTTTTTTAATCAATGGTTCAATCAAATTTTATAGAGATGTTTTAGAAATGGATATCAATAGTTCGTTACGAGACATAAAATTGTCTATCAACGTGTAGAGAGTAATACAGCCAGCATTCAAGCGCACAAAGTGGCGTTTGATAGACAAATAACTTTTCCCGATTGAAGTCCGACCTCGGAATGAAATGCTAGAAGCATTGACATCTATGTGATTTGTCTACTGGGTCTATTCTATTCTATTTCTTGTTTATGGCTCTCCCACAGCGGATTGGGCCAGTGTCAAGTGTTTGTGGTTTTATTATAATTTGGGAGAAACTGGCAACAAAACTCTGCTTATGGATATGTTCATGGGTGTACAAGCGGTCTAAATATTTTAAACTACTGAATTATATAAACCTGTTGATCTACCTAAAAGAAGGACGGACACAAAACATTTATATATATCTATTGTGTCTCTGACCCGTACCAATTTTACTAAGGAAGCGGACGATATTTTGATCTACAATACCTTGCCAATATTAAGTCACGGTTTCGTGTCAGTGCTGTTGTGTGTGAGCTTAAAACGATTGTATTGAGCTTACAAACTGTTGGTACAAAGTGTTAAAATGACAAACTAGACTAGGTGCAAATTTCACAAATTATTAGGTATCCATTTTGTTTTCTATTACAAATATATATTCATTTCATATTTCATGAGTAAAACTATTTCAAATTAAATAAACTTCTTTTGGAATTTGCAAACGAAACTGGAGTTGATACGACGTAAATTTTAACCATTTGCCATGCTTTCATATTTATCAGAGGCTGAAAGAATAACAACCGTGCCTTCGTAAAAACCGCCAGGGATGCGCCAATACATCGTATGCGGTTCCTAGTTTTTGAATAGTAAATAGACTGCCCTGCGTAGGGTTACCACACATGTTAGTGTTGGATGTTAATTCCAGTTTAAATTTAAAGTAATCGTAACAAATAAATTTAAATACCAATTCTACAGAACTATAACATTATATGTTATTATGTAAGGAAATGCCTCTGCCTTAACGGGGACAAGAACGGATTACATCGCACTAAGACCGCACAAGCAGTCGTAAGGAAACTCATGTGCATATCGTCAGAAACAGACGCCATATTATATTATAATCTCTCCGAAATCGTACTAAATACTAACAAAAAGCCTTAAAATTAAATATCATATTAATAATTATATTTTCAAGAAGTTAATATTATCGGCCAATATTAAGTTGTAGTTCTGATACCAATAGAATTGATTTTAAACACTGTTTACGGATACATATGTTTATACTATTGCATTTTTCGTGTTTGTTAATACAATAAAGGATGTTTTACTTATGAAAACAAATTTTACTTTTAAGATATCTGAGTATTGCCATCCCCTACTTCCGTCCGGAACACTTCAGACGGAGTACGGAGTAGCATCGAATGTTCATTCGGTAGATTAAAAAGCACTATTCAAAACTAAACACGAGCGCAGTAAAGGTATTCACGATTCATCAATAAAACCATATCAAGTTTATTTTTATATGTGCGGCCCTGTATTTTTTTTACAAATCGTGATAAGTTAGATATTATGCTTGGCTTGCGAAATGCTATCGTGACTAATCTATACCGATATAAAGACGAAAAATTTGTATTTTTGTATGTATTGAAATAACTTCAAAACTTATGGGCTGATTTTAAAAATTCTTTCACCATTAGGAAGGTATCTTATCTGTGAGTAACATAGGCCAGATTTGTCACTTTCACGCAGATGATGTCGCGAGCTAGAGCTATAAATAATAAAGTAATGAATACCAAAATCAATGCAGTTATACATATTTAAGATGAATCGGATAGACGTCCATACTATCAATTAACAGCTAGACACTATTTACTTAAACACCAATAAGTAAACAGTGTCTAAGGATATATATATTATATTACAGTAATATTTTTTGCTAAGATTTCACCTCCATCCTCTTTACAAACACAAAAACCAAAGGCCACTTAAGTAAGCTGGCTCAGATGTTTACCTTTACTTTGACATCTTAAGACGGTCCTTAATTTATTTTAGGTAAATTATGCTGCTAATAATAATACAGTCTTATATTCATTTTATAAAAACCTAACCTCCGTAATGTCTGTGTTTTCACCCTAAGTTTTGAGAAAGTTCGAACACGTCGACCTGTAACATTCCACCTTCCCTCTCTACCGGTAGCTGTCTAGACTAGACCCACGATAGAATGCCTTTGTTTCCTTAAGAATATTCCAGAACGTTTAAAAATTTAATAATAACTACCGAAAGACAACTGTGTTGCTTTTGACATTGTGTTCGCCAGACTCTTAACGCAAACAACCAGTGTAAATAAAACGTAATCTATACTTCTATACCAATATTATGAAGGGGAAAGATTTGTTTTTTGTATGAATTCAAATAACTCAAAAACTAATGGGCCGGTTACAAAAATTCTTTCACCATTAAAAACTAAGTTATCAGTGAGTAACAAAGGCTATGTTTATTTTCTGTTTTTTAATTCCACATGGACGAAGTCGCGAACAGCTAGTTGCTTATAAAAATAGCACTCGGGCGCATCTACTCGTTTAGTATGTACGGGCTTTTATATCTGCGATTGCAGTAACTACCAACAGAGTAAACAATAAGTTGGGCATCAATGACTATTAATTAACGGGATGTTTGAAGCGTATCAGGAATTAGTGAAACTCCACCAGGGTTTACTTTGTACGTACACGGATGCTCAGTTAGTGTTTGATTTAATGAAATGTTCGTGTAAACTAACTCAGGTAAAGTATATTAATGTACTTCGTACTTAAATTATTTTAGAAAAATCTATACAACACATTACTAACAGATAAATTACCTTTCTAAAGGTCAAAGAATTTTTAAAATCGGCCAAGTAGTTTTTGAGTTACATAGTTCAATACATACAAAAATATAATTCTTTCCTGTTTATTATAGTATAGATTTATTGTGGTTAATTCTTCCTTTTCCTGTATTTTTAATCAATTTAAAAAAAGTTTTCCTAGTACGTATTTGCAATAAGTTAAAGTAAATAATATTCAATCTCTGGCCCGCGAACTCGACTGTAAGTCAAGTTTTAAAAAGCCACCGCCATTTGAACAAAGTTTCAAATAGAAGAGGTATGAAATTGCAGAAGTTTCGAACTTGACAAAATTATATGACGCAACCGAAATTATTGTCAAGATGATGCGATACGAAATTCTGAGATAAGTGACCCTAATTAAAAGTTAAAAAATGTTTTCTCAACATACTGAATTATGAAATAGTACTATTCACGTGTCATTGAAAAGATCATAATTTAACGTCTAACACATGCGAATTATAAATACGAAGATATGATAAAATAAAGAAACAACGCACATGAAAGGGGAAATAGATAGGAAATGCAATAAAAGATAAAATTGGAAGCAAATAGTTAGATAATTTCGTTATTACTTATGCGTTTTTAAGAGTAGGTGGGTTATAGCAATATTTATTTACTTATGGTCTATCTTCTCTCCCGTGGGTAGCGGTCACATATCAAGGAGAGCGATGCTCGGTTTCCTCTGTATTCTATAATATCAAAGGCAGGCTTTGGATTTCACATTTTTTTGTAAACTAAACGTGGAATGTTCTTTGATTATATCCAAGCGAGCGTTTATCGTCGAGACGTCGCATCTTCACAAGCGCACCTTTACAAAGCTTCTCAAGAATTCGCACTACGGAATT